CCCCCCGAAACTACTATCTAATTGTGCTAAATTGTCTTAGAGGATGAATTTCCTGTATATTTGTTAGAACACTTTCCACAGACTGGAGCTGATATGAAGTTAACAGTTGTGTAGCTGAAGATTTCCTTTACCCTTCAGTCTTATTAAAAATATTGTTATTTCTGAAGCATATATGTGCCCTGATTAAGTGTTAATCTGTCATTTTATCTTTAACATTTATCCAGAGCAATAGAGAGCAGTATATGGATACATCTATACACGCACTTAATATACACGTAAATGTCAGAAGTTTGGTATTGGAGGTATGCTTTGAAGGGCATATAATTCCAAATGTTGGAGGCAATTAATAACATTTTAGTGTACCTCCACTCTGACAGAAGATAACTTGCATTATGGAATCACCTTTACAGCTGCTGAATAAATTGAAAGAAAATGAAAAAAAAAAACAAACAAAAATCAAATATTTCATTCAGCGTATCCTTATATGAGAAAGACTTCTTCATTTCTATTTAAAAATAAAACTATTGAACTGCTAGAAAACTCAGAAATTAATATATTTATTTTGTTGGGGATAAACATCGACTTTGAGTTTGTCATAAAAAAGATGTTTCTGGTCTAACTCCTTGAACTCCACTGTTTCTTCTTCTTTTCTCCTCCAGCATAATTATACAGTTATATTGGTAACAATATATCAGGTGCAACCATGTGAACATATTCCATAAAGTTTTAGAAAGTAGATTGATTTCCTGCTGTTCCTAACAAGAAGTGAGATTTGTATTCTTATGCAGAACCTAGGTGAGGAAAAAAGACAGAAGTCATTATTACCTTACAAAATGATGCTACTGTGAATGTTTTCTCTTAAAGGAAAATTATCCCTGATGGTGCAATGAGATTGCTGTCAATCTTGTATCTAGGATATAACCAGTTTCCAGCCAGAGGTGGAATCTGCAGACTGATTCTGCTGTGGTTTTGCACTGGGGAATCTGCTGTCGCTCTTGTACTGGGACAGGCTCATTAAAGACTCAAGGATAAAAAATGTTATCAGAGCCTTGTTATACTTCTTGGCTGCTTTGCTTGCTAACAATTAATTTCTTTATCACCAGTAGACCCACTGGTGATAAAGTGGCTGTGTTTTCTTATTCCCATGGGAAATTTCCATAAAATACTTTGAACGCTATAGAAGGGGAGAAGAAATAATTTACTGCATCCTATTCACGTATCAGAAATTAGGGAAAAAGACATGTGATATGTAGTATTTTAAACAACAGAAATATAGTGCTGAAAAGTCATATACTATTTATTTTTATTTTAATTGAAAATTTGAATGCAACAGGAATAGTTGATGAGGAAATATTTTCACTTTTTAATGATAAATTTTAGAAGATTCCATTTGCTCCTGTAGATTTTCAAGACTGTTTGCTAATATAACAGGTATGTTAAACAGTTTTTAAAGATTTTATGTTTTGTAACTATGAGATAATTTATCTAAGAAGAAAATAAACATAATCGATTTTATTTTTTCCTTAAGGTACTTCGGTTACACAGGTAACAGCTACAGATGGTGATGATCCTTCTTATGGGAATAGTGCCCGTCTGCTTTACAGCCTCATTCAGGGACAGCCTTATTTCTCTGTGGAGCCAAAGACAGGTATTACAGATGATGTTGTAACTTGAAAACATTAATAAACTAACATAAAATGGATGCAAGCAAAAATGTCTTTCTTCATTTCAACACAAAGGTCAACCGATACCACCCTATACTTGTACATCTTTTGCATCTTTTGATCTAAAAGAAAATCCATTATTTCTTTCCCATAGGAAACTGAAATTCTTTCTTTCTAGAGAATCATCAATTTATTTAGCAACTTATTTTGCTTAAGAAAAGAGTTGGATTCTGACTACCACATCCAACAAATAGACCTAGTAACACTTCTGGGTTAACAGCTCTAAGACTCTGTATGTGACATTTCTATCTCTATATTGGAGAAACCACATATGTGACATCCCTCCATAATCCTGATTTCTTGGAAAGAAAGGTGGTTATAGAGGGTAGAGGAGATATATGGTGTGTTCTGCTCCCCAGAACTCTTAAGTATGCAGAATGGCTTTGTCTCACAGCATAGAAGTTGCCATGAGTACTAATTACCAGTATTAGGTATGGTGCATGATCTAGAATTCAAATTCGTAACTGTGTCCAATGATGTATTTTATACCCATATGATATGGCTAGATGTTGAGAAAAAATGACACTGTTATATGTTATTATATTATGCTTTTCATTTCTAGGGGTCATCAGAATGGCTTCCCAAATGGATAGAGAAACAAAAGAACAGTATTTGGTCATCATCCAAGTGAAAGATATGGTTGGACAAGCAGGGGCATTTTCAGCAACAGCTACTGTCACCATCAACCTCTCCGACATCAATGACAATCCACCTAAATTTCAACAGCGTAAGTATAGGCTACTTACAATAGTTGAAGTCTTGAGGAAATTTAGACTTATTGTAGCTCTGTTATGTTCACTGGTAGGTCTTTTCAGAACAGGTCTGTGCTTTGACTTCAGTGTACAGATTTAAATAAAAATAAAATTAAAAAAATCCCCTACAAAAGCTAAGAAATGAAGAGGAAAAGAAAATCTATCATTACAAAACACCTCAGGCCTGTTTTTTTATCATTAGACTCTGGAAATAAATTACTTACTAAACTGCTTTCCATATAGTTTGCTTTACGTACGCCTAAAATCCATGCAACAGGATACTTAGTACCATTTTAACTCGCCTTATTTCTCTTTCTTCTCTCTTCATTCTGTGCTGACAGATACTGTAAGCTTCTTAGCAAATGATGTGACCTTCTCTGTCCAGGGAGTTTCTAGGAGACATGGGAGCTGCTAGCTGGGTTGCCAGGAAGAACTAGTAAAATGCGGTTGGGAAGTGCTGCCTTTCACTGTTTATTCACCCTGTTGGTTCTCCTTAACTCTTTATTTACTGCTAAAGAGGGGCTGAAAGAGGAGGACTCATGACTGGGAATGTTGTCATCCTCTGCCCCCAATCCATTGCTGGATTAGAACCCATGCTCTAATAAAAGCTGGGGTCTTTCCCCAGCTTTCTGAGACCTTCAGGCCATCATAGCTACAGCAGCTATCAACTATGGCAGATCACTAAACTGTGCAGTATTTGTTTCTTTAGGACTCTACTATATGAACGTCTCTGAAGAGGCTCCTGTGGGCACTACTGTAGGCAAAGTCTTTGCAGAAGACAGTGACATAGGGGAGAATGCAGCCATGAACTATTTCATTGAAGGAGATAGCTCAGATGTTTTTGACATCATTACTAACAATGAGACTCAAGAAGGAATTATCTTATTAAAAAAGGTGAGACCTCAGAAACCTCCTAAAAACTCTCTAAATACTGGAAAAAAAAGTCCTCAAGCAAGCTGGATGTTTAAAAAAAGGCCTATTGCTTTGGATTCTACTATTTTTTCTTTCTTCAGGCTTTGTGATTTGATTGGGATATTCAGGGGATAAAAAGAAACATGCTTTCCTTTTTGTTTGCTTTTTTTGACTCATTCCTATGACTGCTTAATACAATAGTGGCAGTCAAAGTATCTTAACGTTTTGCCTAGCAGTGCAACACAGTGTATCCCATTGAGAGAAAATGTTCTCCCTTCTGTGCATTATCTGTAAAATCTTTATCAACAAATCGTACGCAATATTTCCTCACTTGCAACCTGTTAAACTTAACTGAAGTCAGACTGTATTACAGTATTAGACAGACAGTGGACTTTTTGTTATGACATAGCTTTGAAAAGACACTAAATACACTCAAAAAGATACCAGTTTATGAATTAAGATATTTACAAGGCTTTTATACTGTGTGATTTATTTTGGAATCATGCAGGAAGATTTCTGGGTCATCTGGTCATCATCTGAAATGATGACAGACTTTAACAGTTTAGGGAAATCCAGGAGCCTGAAGAACTGAAAGCTATAAGTTTGGGTTTGGTTTTGTTTGTTGGTTTTGTTGTTGGGTTTTTTTTTCCTATTTGGATTTATTACAATTCAGGAAGGTATTTATTCAGTATTTCTTTTTAAATTACAGAAGAAAATTACTATCTAAAATAGTGATGTAACTATGTGTTTATTAAACACTTTGTTGCTTTCTGGAATTTATTTCCTTTAGAAACTAAATGTTAACATACTCAGCTTAAGCTCCACAGATTTACTGATTTACATTGTTTATGTAAGAGTAAAGAATAGTGTTCACTAAGGTTACCCCTATGTTGGAAATACAAGTAGTAATAGAGGAAGCTGGCTTTCTTAGGGCTGACATTCTACAGGAAGACTTTTTTTACAGTGTTGTTAATGTAACACTAAAGCCAGCCTACATGTGAAAGCAATGGCATAACAGTTTAATTTTAAAGTGGTTTTAACATTAAAAAAAGTAATTTAAAGTAACTACTTGTGAAATATTCCCAAAAGAAGAGTAGTGCTATTTTGTCTCACGCTACTTATTGAACTGTATTTAATTCAAATGTGAAGAAAGAACTACTCCACAGCTCACTTTTTTTCTTAATAGAGAGTGGATTATGAGAGCAAGAGGAGATACAGTATTCAAGCCAAAGTTGTAAACAGGTACATCGATTACCGTTTTCTGAAAGAAGGACCGTTTGAGGACAAAACCATTGTCAAAATCAATGTGGAAGATGCTGATGAACCTCCAGTATTCACCTTGGAGAACTATGTGATGGAAATTGCTGAAGGGGCTATGAGTGGCTCACTGGTGGGCGTTGTAACTGCTAGAGATCCAGATGATGACGACTGCCCAGTCAGGTACCTAACTTAAAATGTGAACAAGCCTCAAATATAGGTGTGGTTGGGATTTCCAAAGGTTATTTCTGTTCCCTACCTTACAGTTAATCATGCTTTCATTGGGATAGCCTAGGTTATTCTAGATGTCGTGGTTTAATCCCTCTAGTCCGCTAAGGACCACACAGCTGCTTGCTTACTCACCTACCCATTGTGATGCGGGAGAGAATCAAAAGGGTGGAAGTGTGAAAAGTCATGGGTTGAGATAAAGACGATTTACTACTAAAAAAAAAAAAACAACCCAAAAAAGAAGAAACAAAAAAAACCAGCAAAGGGAAAAAAAAAAAACACAACAAAAGCCCAAGAAAAGCAAGCGATGCAAAAAAACCCAAAACAATTGCTCACCACCAGCAGGCTGATACCGAGCCAGTCCCCGAGCAATAGCAGACCCTCCCAGTTTTGCTGAGCATGACTTCATATGGTGTGGGACACCTCTTTGGTCAATTGGGGTCAGCTGGCCCAGCTGTGTCCCCTCTCATCTTCTTTGCACTTCCATCTTACACACTGTCAAGGCAGTGTGAGAAGCAGAGAAGGGGCTGATGCTGTGTAAGCACTGATCAGCAATAACTAAAATATCTGTGTGCTATCAACACTGTTTTCATGACAAATCCAAAATATAGCTTCATCCAAGCTACTATGAAGATAATTAACTCTATCCCAGCCAAAACCAGTACAGTAGGTTAAAACCTGACCCCTAGCCCAAAATCTAAATAAATGAGCTTTATTTGTGAATCTTTGTAATCACTTTGAGGTTGAGTAATACCTTAAACAGTGGCCTGGAAAAGACGGAATTGCAACAGAGCTGGGGTACCACAGCCAAACTTGTAAGTGCCTGGAGGTGTTCCAGTCTGTTTCTAATAACTTCTGGAGGTATGGAGAGATGGACTTATTGCTGGGAGGGAGACACAGAACAGCTCCACTGGCATCTGCTCAGCTCAGCATGACCAAAAATTTACCAATTCCCTACCCCTACCACAATTGCCTTATAGAGTTATTATATTAAAAGAGTCCCCCAGGCTTTTAAATTTGCAAAATAATTTTGCTGTATCTTAAGGGAAAAAACAGGTAATTAATCTTTCACATGGGGTTTATAATTAAAATAGCTTCTTGAGTTACTAGATGTCATTTTGTAGTGTGTAATTTAGACAAGCTAGGATACAGGGACAAATGGATGACACATGAAATAATTTATGGTGTGTAGACTCCTAATAGCAGAAGTATATATGTGTGTATATATTTCTACCTATAGTTACAGCTTCAGAGGTTTAGTCAATGCAAGGCCATTAGTTACGATTTTACGTTTGTTTACTGTTATTTAGTAAGCTAGTCATAGGTTAAATTAAATAAGAATAAATAAAAATATACATCCTTTTTTCCCCCAAAAAAATGGTATGTTTTGTGGTTTGATGACCGCAAAATCTCCTGAGAAACATTTAAACATAAGGCATACCTATGACTTCTTAGTTTTAAATATTTTGATGGAACTTGCTACAAAGTGAATATGTCTGCATAGTGACGCATATATTGCATCACTGAATGTCTTTAAAATAGAGTATGTCATTTCTAATGTAAAGATATGTTTCTTGGGCTAAGTGCCATGCATATGAAGCTAATTTTGAAACCATTGCTATCATAAATGACAGCAGTTGTTTATAATATGGAAAACCAAATGTGTTGCCTTGTGGACCCCAGTTTTCAAACAAACAAGGTAAAAGACATGCAACAAAAACTTACTACTTCAATAATAAAAAATAACTAAAAATATCCAGCATAGATTTCCTGAAAATTATATATCAAGAATCAGATTACAAAAAAACCCACCCAAAACTAAAGAAAACAAAACACTAATGTCAGAAAACCCTAAACAAGCTTTGGATGCAGAGGATGAGGAATGCTAACATAAAAAAAGAAGACGAAATTGAATTGTAAATCCCCAAAATAGAGGTTTATAAATGTCAAAGCTTTGGCTCAAATGATAAGAACTTTCACTGACTGTGTTGTGATGGGTCCTTGATTTATCCTCTTACTGATTTTCAAACGAGACAAAATGTAACTATAAATAACAAGTTAGAGAGTCATCCAACCACTGGCACATAATCTGAGCTGGAATCCAAAGGGCCGACAGGAGATAGAAAGGCTTTGTTAAGGAGTATTAAAGGTACAATAAAAGAGGGAATAGTTGCATGTGGGAATTCCAAACTGGAGTGGTAAGAACCTTTCAACTCTTCAAACAGGTTTTATTTCCATGAAATAGGCTCTACTAGGAACTGTGATATACTGTCTTTTTTTCATATGTCATGGAAAATATTAGTAAGTATTCTTTCCATTTGAACCAATAGCTTTGGTGTCTTTTTCAGTCCATCTCTGGCTTGTGACCAGTGGTTAGACTTTAACAATTTGAATGTTATGCATGTATATGCATGTTCATGTGCATGTGCACATATGGACATAGCATCTGGAGCCTTTTCAGTGAAGAGCCAGGAACCCTGGACTCATTTGCAATCATCTCCCGCGTTAGGATTTTGTAGCCTGCCTAGGTGTCACCTCATTACAGATAGTTGTCTGTCTGTCTTTATAATGCCCGTTCCCTTGGCATCAGAGTATGTCAGCGATGATAAAACAGATTTGCCATTATACCTACACTTAGCTGTTAGTGTTATCCATTTCACAAGTGGCACTTTTGCTGCTTCTTTTCAACGAAGTCATTCACCTGCTGTGAGCCTGACTTAGAAGTAAGAATGAATAATGTATTTCAGATTCAGTTCACATTAATAGAGATCTGAGACATATTTAGTTTTATAAAAAGAAGAGCTTTGATCTTGGCAGCAGTGAATTTTAAATGTTTATAAGTGTACATTTTTCATGATTTATGAGTTGGTGCAGCACACATTTATATGTATATATGCACAGCTCTGTTTTCTCAACTGACAATAGCTTTCTATGTCCTTGCCACTGATGGAACATTTCAGTATTAGGAGATCTCTTTACTTTTTTTGGTGCAGGTACGCTATTGTCCAGGGCATGCATTTAAAGAGATTGTTCAGCATCAATGAACACAATGGAACAATCATTACAACTAAACCTCTGGACCGAGAGATAGCTTCTTGGCACAACATAACTGTTACAGCTACAGAAACAAGTGAGTAAGAAATTTAAGGAACTCTGTGTTTTATATACTGCGAACTGTAATTATCCTCTGAATATGCCTTCTTTTAAGTGGAGAATACATGCTTCTTTCTCATTATATTACTGTTGCTTGCTACATTAAGGAGCATTATTAAAATGATTAGTTAAATAGAAGTGGAATGTATTTGAGCTCCAAGGTCCTCTGCTCTTTCATAAAAGATGACCTTATAAAAAAAGAAAGGAAATACTAATAGGATCTAGACTGTAACGCTTTCAAGTTACACTGAAGCATATGAATTGCTCCTGCAGTGCAAGATCTTATGTTAAATTACACCCTGGTTAATTTCACACCAGATTTTTGACTAGTGTGAAATTAGCAAGGGTCTAATTTAACACCAGTCAGAAACCTGTGGCTCAAATTAATTGTGAATGTAAGGCCTAAATCAGCTAGACTTCTCTTCAGTAACAATTAAATCTGTGAAGCATCCTTTATATAGATTTCACCTGTCAGTTATGTTTGAAAGTCAAATGTAAATTGCTTCTGTTTGTGCTTTTGGTGATCTGGTTGCCCTAACTCTGGGACAACACGCTAGAAAATTAACAGCAGCTGATTTATAAGACAGTTTAACAAAATTATTGGGGTATTATTTAAAAACTAATCTCATCCATCCTCAGGAAGGAGAAAAAACATATGAAACTAGAGTCCAATCAGTAAATCAGACAGGTTTTGCCCAATACTTTTAGCACTTTTTTAATCCTGAATTTTAGTTAAACGCCATTTATTACTAAGACTACTTTAAACATATATTCATAAGTTGCACTGCTCCCAAAAGGGAGCAGTCCTTGTATATATGTAGAATATTACTGCCAGAAGTTCAGTACAGTCAGTAGCCGTTTTCATTGAAGTCTTTATTTTGTGTTTAGGAATTGATAGTATTATCATCCTTTTCAGCTTCTCTGTGAGTTTTTAGGCATGAATGTATTTTACTTCTCATGTTGTTGGGCAGCTGGCAGGTGTTGGTAAAATTGATCTCTGGCATATTTTTGTCATGTCTTGAATAGCACTATGGAAACACAGCAGGATGGCTTTGGTCTGGACTTTTCTGTTTTGTTAAACAATAAAATAGGAAAGAACCAAATGTTACAAATGAGTAAGTGTCTCCTGCAGCAAAAGAAAGCGAGTCTTTCACAGTAGTGAAAGTTATTGTAGGAAACCGAGCCCTCATTATCTTCATATTCTTATTCTTTATTTCTTTAATGATGATAAGGTCACTGTATATAACACTATATTCAAAAGCATTGAAGTCAGGTCACCTTGGTCTGGGCATACCTGAAATGCTTTATATCATGAACTATTAGCATTTTGTTCCTTGAAATACAGTCATAACATACACTGTGTGTATGAGACATTTGGTAGATGACATTGTGGCTCTGCTGAAGCCAAATCAAAATGCCATTAGAGTTCATCCACACAAGATATTCATTGTAGCTAAGACAGATAGTGAAACTGCATTACAACAGCAATCTCCCTACTGGCCTATTGATGTCCTGGCATTCATACAGAACACACGCCTTTTGCCTCCACTGCAATGACAGGGATCAGAGATTAGTAAGAGAACCTTGCCTCTGTTATGGCAGACTTGTGGTGTGGATCATCCTATCCTCATGCCATTGAGATAGCATGTTTTAAAGGTACCCAGAAGTAGATCTGATTCATCCGACCTTAAATGCAAGCAGTCAGAACCTGCAATCTGTTGAGTCTTATTCTGCTTTATGCCTAATATGCTTCTAGGTCAGGAGAAAGCACATTTTCTTTGATCAGTTTTTACTTGGTTGTAATCAGTTTCCACCTAGTACATGGCTGAAGCAAAACCAACAACATTCTAACCATACACGAGAGCAAGAAATCCTTAAGTTTTCAGCTTTATTTAACACTGATTTACTGAGTCAGATGATGATTGACTGACAGTTAATTTAGAAGAGGAATATCTGTTTCAGCTTTCTCTCTATTAAACTATAGAAGACCAACAAAAATTCCCAATGATAACAACTGGCTTGAGATTACTTACTTGTTTCTCTATACGCCCACTGGAGAAGTTCATTACCAGTCATAAGCAAACTTACCCACAAGAGACAGTATTTTTTTCCCACTGGGTCTTGCAGATGTCCTTTCATAGTGGGTTCCAGACCTACTACGTGACTACAGAACTTACAGGTCTTTGAAGGTTTCAGTTATGAATCATATAATTAATTCAATATTTAATCATCACCCCACTTTTGTCATATATTTTTTTGGTTTGTTTTAGATTAGTCCTTTAAAAAAAAAAAAAAAGTGTCCATTTCCTTTAGGAAGTAAAGAAACTTTCTTTAGCTTAAATTATAACAATTATTATTATTACTGTTATTGTTACTATTACAACGTTTCCTTTTACTGGCAGATGACAATGCCAAGCTAAGCTTTCTTTAATCCCCTGCAAGTATTGAGTTCTACTTTGTCTCTAGAGATGGTCACTGCTTTTCACACAGTTCCAAAATAAGCAAGTTACTAATTCTGGTCCCTAGTAATTAAAGCGTCAACTTCCTTTTCACACTGATCGAGCCTAGTGCACTTGATAGCCTGTTCTCTCAGACCTTGTTTTTCAAGTTTTGAGCTCTCTCATGGAGATTATGACAAAGAAATTTTCTGCTCACTGAAAGATCTTTAGCCTAGTGTAGGATATGAGTACAATAACTGTATTCAAGTTCTGGTAACCATTTTTCTGTGTAAGGGATAAAAGGAAAAATGTTTCCTACCTTACCTACCATCTTCCCCAATTCACTTTGTTTCACCCAAAATCTTCATTAAATATTTACCAAAGACTGATTTCAAGATTGGCTTTGCAATGTGTTCCTTCCTCCCAAAACGGAACGCCTGTGGTTTCAGAAAACTTGAAAACTTCCATACTATTATCTTCCTACAGCAATGTGAGAAATGTTCTTCCTTGTCATTTAACCATAAACTGAGGAAAAAACTCACAAAGCAACCACAATACAGTAACCCAAATATAGGAAAGGAAGTAGAAACAAGACTATTACAAAAATCATTAAAACAAAAAAAAAAAAAGAAGGGTTATTCAATGAAAGAAAAGAGATGTGAATGGCAGCTGTAGGCTGAAAGGTGCTATCTAAATGTGCAGGCAAAGGGTAGGCTTTAAAGACAATATAGTATCCATGAATCTTTTGAACAAGCGAGTTAGGAATAGGCTAAAGTAGCTGGGTCCTTCCCATGCCGCTGCCACTTTCTATACAACTGAAGCCACCAAAGGTATTCCCTGCCTCCTAATAAGTGTTACAAAGTTTTCCTTTCAGTGCCAATCCAGGCAAATCTCTGTCCTACACATCCAATTCTGACTTAAGTAAAAGAGGTTAAGTCCTGCACTTGGTATGATTTCTAAAAGGGATGTGTGCTACTTTTTATGTTTATTTAAAAAATAAGCTGAGTACTGTTTCATTGCCTTTGTAGTATTATGGATGTTGGGATTCAACAAGAGAAATGTCATCTCACAAAGAAGTGTTTTTGAGATGGGTCTGACAGATCATAAGCTTTGGTAAATTAGCATGGCTCTAATGATTTCACAGGAGGAATAGCAATGTGAAACTGCTGAGTATCTAGCCCTTTATCTCTGTGGTAGTTGCTTTTGCTACCATTTCCTTTGGCAAAAGACTCAAAGCTATCAGCAAAGATTCCATAAGATCCAAGAAAACAAATGTTTGCTCCAAGCAACTAGTGAATTATACATTAAAAAGGCAATGTAAGAATGAACCAAAACCATATAGTTTGAAGTAAGGCACAAAGGAGTATGTTTTGTTTTTCTCTTAAAGGTCCATTTGACTAACTTAAGAAAATGCCTTAAGGACTTCTGAACAGGTCAAGAGTAGTGACACTAGTACCCATCATGAAGCATATTTTAACTATAATGAATATTCTTATGATTGATATGCTTTTGGTTGAGACAGAACAGATTGAGATATTGATAAATATTTAGGTTGATAGCTATTTAGTATACCTGGAATGTTTTAAGATTATTTTATTCACTGGAAAAATGTCTTCATTATGGTCTTTACCCAACAGTACGTCCAAGTTAACGTGAACGTTACTGTTGCAGTGAAACTTCTTGCCTGCTAGAATAACAAATTACGTTGTGGGGAAGGCAGACATTTCTCAGAGCTATGCCATTTAAGTGAGGATTTGATGTGCTGATAGGTGAAGGACTTCTGAGAGGTATTCAGTACAGAATCATAGAATAATTTAGGTTGGAAAAGGCCTTCAAGATCATTGAGTCCAACCATTAACCTAATGCTGCCAAGTCCACCACTAAACCATGTCCCTAAGCAAAACATCTATGTGTCCTTTAAATACCTCCAGGGGTAGTCACTCCATCACTTCCCTGTGCAGCCTGTTCCAATGCTTGGTAACCCTTTTGGTGAAGAAATTTTTCCTAATATCCATCCTAAACCTCCCCTGGCACAGCTTGAGGCCATTTCCTCTTGTCTTATCACTGGTTACTTGGAAGAAGAGACCAATCCCCCCCTGGCTACAACCTCCTTTCAGGTAGTTGCAGAGGGTGATAAGGTCTCCCTTGAGTCTCCTTTTCTCCAGGCTAATCAACCCCAGTTACCTCAGCCGATCCTCATTAGACTTGTGCTCTAGACCCTTCACTAGCTTTGTTGCCCTTCTTTGAACATGCTCCACCACTGTGTTGTCTTTCTTGTAGGGAGGGGCCCAAAACTGAACACAGGATTCAAGGTGGGGCTTCACCAGTGCTGAGCACAGGGGGATGATCACTTCCATAGTCCTGCTCACCACACTATTTCTGATACAGGCCAGGATGCTGTTTGACTTCTTGGCTACCTGGGCACACTGCTGGCTCACATTCAACCAGCTATTGACCCATACCCCCAGGTCCTTTTCTGCGGGACAGCTTTCCAGCCACTCTTCCCCCGGCCTGTAGCACCGCATGGGGTTGTTGTGACCCAAGTGCAGGACCTGGCACTTGGCCTTGTTGAACCTCATACAATTGGCTTTGGCCCATTGATCCAACCTGTCCAGATCCCTCTGTAGAGCCTTCTTACCCTAGCAGACCAATATTCCAACCAAGCTTCGTGTCATCTGCAAACTTACTGAAGGTGCACTCAATCCCCTCGTCCAGCTCATTGGTAAAGATATTAAACAGAAATGACCCCAATACTGAGTGGGGAACACCACTTGTAACTGGCTGCCAGCTAGATTTAATTCCATTCACCACCAGTCTTTGGGCCTGGTTATCCAGACAGCTTTTTACCCAAGGAGTATGCCCATCCAAGGCATGAGCAGCCAGTTTCTCTAGGAGAATGCTGTACCTGAAGATCTTCCTTCCCTTGGTTTGACATGACATATTTATAAACACTTTTATTACATAAACAAATAGTTTTTTTGGCCTAGTCTACACTTGACTTTTGTACCATGAAATTAGTATAGTTAGGTCTGGCTTTTCCTTGTCTGAAGCAGTTATAGCCATTTAACCTTGTGTAAATGTAGTAAATGCAGGAAAAAACTGCCTTATATTAGCAGAGTTTATTTTCCTTTTCATACGGGAATAAGCTCCACTGACAGAGCTTTTATTTCTAAAGCCACAATAATAAAGTATACTTGTATGACAGAAACAGTACAGCTTCTGTGAGTACAAAATGCCTAAGAATTAAACCTGTTGTGCAAATAGTACTTGGAACAAAACTATAAGCTCAGTCCATGAAGTCTGTCAGCAGTAATGCCTTGGACATGCCTGGGCAAAATCAGACTTCTTGGTAAATATGTGTTTGGAGACCAGTGGATAGACTAGCTCTGTTGTTCCAGATTCAAAGTCTCAGCTTTCTGCCTTGGCTAGGGTTGGATGTCAGTGTCCACTGCAATTACTCCGTGGCTAGTAGTGGCAGAAATATTTTTAAAGCATGTGGATTTTGCTGAAATTTTCTCCCAAAACTTCAAAATACTAAAAAGGAAGAGTAACAGATTTTCTTAAAGGATTGTGACAAATCATTGTGGTGGCTGTGATGTTAAGTAGTGCTAAGTAAGCAGGTGCATCTGCCTTCACCAGCTGCTCTGGCCCAGGACCCTCCTGCCTGGCTGCTGGAGCCCAGACTGGTATGAGTGACCCGAGGCCTCTGACCGGGCTCAAGGATACTGCTGACCCCTTCCTGTTTGCAGGCTCAACCAGTAGAAAAACTGACCAGGTGTCCCAGAGACGCACGCACAGACCCAGAGAACACCGACATGGCCAGTGACACAGACTGCCACAGACAAGGAGCTCCATTCAGCAGCACCTGCATATAGGACACACGTAAACCACAAGTACAGACAGCCAAGTCCCCTCCTCTGCTTTGGCTGGAGAGGCAGGAGGTCACTGGTGCAGACACATACACACACGTGCGACATTCTCCAGGTTCACAAGCACACACACACTCATGGATCCCTTCAGTACTTGCATGGACCCTCTGTCTGCCCTACACCCCTGCCCAGATACCAGATCCTCTTATCCACTTCATTGGTCACCAACTCACCGGTTAGTACGTGCTTGATGCTCGCTGGCATACCCGCAGCACTCACACACTTATCCCTTGTGTACCCCACATTCGCAAGTCCCCTCTGAGTGTACCAGCATGGACCCCCCTGGGCACCTGGCCTGGACCTAAGGACTCCCTACTCACCATTGAATCCAGCTTAAAGTTTGCTAGCTAAAACACACGCACATGCCAAGCACATCGAGTTTGGGGAAGATACAAACGTTCGTCCCCTGTGCCCCTCACTCACTCCAGTAGCTGGCACTGTGGGCCAGGGGCACCCAACCCCTGTCTGACTCCTGTAGCGTGCACCAGTTTTCACTCATGCATATGTAGGTTTCACCAGTAGCTGGCACTTAGTCCCTGCAGCACACGCACACATGCAATGATAGAGACTGCATAATAGCAGAGAGAGAGCTAAGAAAAGATATAATAAGAAGATACAAGGTGATAGGACTGACTGGTGATCTGGCACAGGAGTCAGCCAGACAAACATAATGACTGGTCCTGTTTTACATGTGACTGGCCTCTTATATACTCCTTTCCCTCTGCCTCATCTTTGTCCCTCCCTGTATGTCCCCCATGGGTCTGTACAGCTCCATTGATTACATTGCCCCTGTGGGTCTGGGGTCCCTCTGGTTCACAGTCTTATCAGTTGCAAAGTCAAGGTTGATCTACCTAGAATTGTTGCCTTTGGTGTTTGGATAGGCCGTTAATTATCATGAGGTTCGTTTCTTGTCACTGTATCCAAGTTTGCTTTGTCAGGTCTGTGTGTTAGTATATCTTGTTTCTGTTTTCCCCTTTTTCTCCCTCAGTTTCCAAATTGAAAAAGCCCCCAGTCTGATAACCTTGCAGGAATAAACATTCTCACACACTCTTGTCCCCCCATCATTTACTGTGTCTGACCAGGTTTGGTTCTCATCACATCCTCCCTTATTGTTTGTCCCTATGGTTTGTGTCCCTGTATGTTCTTTATGGCTGCCTCCTTACTTACCCTTGTTGCATTGAATAAGGTCCTTGACCAAATACCCTTGGAGGAGCAGACACTCTCCTTCCACATAACCACACACAACTAGTAAAGTAAATTGTTCTGTGTGAACAAAACCTCATTTAATTTCTCCAGATCAGCCTTTTTTTTTTTTTTTTTTTTTTTTTAACATTTAGATCAGTTTCTGACTTGGTAAATGAAACAGTGAACAAATCCAAAATTTTGCATGAAATATCTTTCTATATTTCAAGATATCATATTATAATTTAATGCGATGGATTGGTGAAAAAACAAAACAAAAGAAAACCCCTCCACCTTTTGTAAACAGAACCCTAGGAAAGAAAGAGAATGCACATTTTTATATGTATAGGATATATTTGAACTAATTAAAAAGATTCAGTATAAAATGTGTCTGTAAGTCTCAGTGACTATTTTTTTCTCTGCAGAGTATACATGAAATTTTCTAATGTCTAAATTACTTTTAAATATGTAGTAGATTATTTATAATGTTTGATTTCTGTGTTTTTTAACCATTAGGAAATCCTGAAAAAATTTCAGAAGCAAATGTGTATATCCAAGTTCTCGATGTTAATGATCATGCACCAGAATTCCCTAAATATTATGAAACATTTGTTTGTGAAAATGCAGTTTCTGGCCAGGTAAGCATGAAGGAGTTAGCCACCAGTTTTCTCACTACAATGAAGATTTGTTCTGAGATGTTAAGGTTCCCTTTAGTATTGATTATTTCCATACTGTGAGTACAGGCTGTATTTTGTCTATTTCCAAAATTAGTTCTGTTAATATATGTATAGTTTGAAATTTAAATTTCAGAAGACTGACATGTATTTTTCCCCCTTGGAAACAAAATCAATACATCTTATTTGTCTGCAAAAACAGGAAAGAGAGAAGTATGGACAGAAACTTCTGAAAAAAAACCCATAAGACACTGATTTGCTTCATGTTAATATCACAGATGTAAAACCTATGCCAGATGCTTTCAGAAACAGCATAACATAGTCTGGAAGAACCAGACTTAGACCGGATTAAAATCAGATTCATCATGTTGTGTGGTTAGAAATAATTTATTGCAAGCTGAATTCAAACCTTCTCTACTTCAGTGAAAGTCTGAAGATGTTTAAGTCACAGCCCTTGCAACACCTTCCTCGCTGGCATCTTAAAGGATTGTTGTATTAAGCATCCTTCCCTGGAGGTTTTTTCCTGTTTCCTACTCATTCCTCAGGTGAAAGGGCTAACATCAGTCAGCTGCCCTAACTCCCCAGGTACACTGCTGACTCTCCATTTTGCTCCTGCAAAAAGCAAAACAGGTTGTTCAGTTTTTTTTTTTCCTTTTTTTTTTAAAGGTACAAAATGGGCCACAAAAAAAAAAAACAACAGCAAAAAGCTATAGACAAAAAACCCCACTTTTTTTTTTTCACCACTCTTAAGCATTATTTGGACGTATAAAAAAGACCTTCGGGATATCTGTGATGGTTCCATTCAAACATTTTGTTGTGTTTTGATTTCTGAATCACAGACCCTCTCTTTTTACACCAGCTTGGTTTACTTTGACCTTGATTAGTCTGCCTTTAAATAAAGCTTTCCCTGTTGCTAAAGTAATTTCTTTATAGCTTTTTACATCCATTTATATGTTTCTCTATCAGCAGTTGGTTGGTTTGTCTGCATTTGGTAATTTTCCACTCTGCAAGGGCTACCGCTGGTTCAAAGGTACTTGGAGCAAGCCATTTCTTTTGGTCTTGAGGCAAATCATTAACAGATCAAAGTACAGGCATTAAAGGAAATGCCACTTCAAGTTCCTTGTCTTCAAGACACGATGAATTAAATATGGAAGTTTATAAAAGGGATATTTGTAATCCATGTTTTGGACTTGCCTACAGTATAAAAAAACATGTGATTTATTTCCCAAGGTTTTTATTATCCCATAGTTTCTTACTGATAACTTTGGTATGCTAACAAATTAATGGTTACTTTTCAATAACAATTAAGTATATATATTAAATATTTTGAAAATCACTGGAGAAAATGTCACTGTAAAGAATAGTAGCAGTAACAATAATAACAAATTCTTTGAGCATAATACACAGAATTATTCCTGTTTAACATTGTAATATCTGAATGACAGATGAGCACGAAATTTTTCCCATTTTACAGACAGGCAAAGTGTTACTCTAGAATTTCTTTTTTCTTCTTTTTTTTTTTTTCCTTTTTCATTGCTGTAGTTTTTTGAGAATCTTTAGTTTAGCCTTCCGAGATCATGACAGTAATGTTAAATAATTTTCTCATTAACAAATGATCTTAGAAAGAACAACCAGAAATTGCTACTGGAGTGCATAATTATCACAGTCATAGTTTATAATATTTTATTCAATGTTTATGATTTAAAACAGAATTCACAACTGATTTACCTCCTTCAGTGCTACTAATTTCTTTTTGGTTTTTGGTTTTTGGGTGGTGGGTTTTTTTTATTTTACTCACAAAAAAAAATGTTCTTTATTTTCATCAGCAAGACAAAAAGCTCAAAAGTGATTTTATAGATGGCCTGGTTTTCCACTGAATAACACAATATACATTTCAGAAGAATCAGTTTAAGTGGTTGAAGGGCTTAATCAAGACATTACATACCTTTTTATCTTAGCCATATTTCTGCAATCAATTCCAAATAGGTCAGGAATCTGCTTACATATTACGAGTTGAGATCAAAGCTTGTATAGATACTCTATCACATTTCAATTTCTAAAGTAGCTATATCTATCCATTTAGCTGGAAATGATACGCTGAGAGTTATTCTTAGAGATGCTCTACGCTTCTGGAATTCACTTCCTTCCCTGATCTCAGCTGAGTTGTGTCTACTTTCATGGGATACACCAAAATATATCTGCATCCCCCAGTTTGTAGTATTTTGGGGGAAAGGAAGGAAAGGCACTGCAAAGGGAAAGACACTATCAAAGACTGAATTGTTTTATTCAGGTGACTTTTCTTGGTGCCTGCTTGGTTTATAATAAAAGCAACGTAGAGTCATGTGGCAAGTAAGTTATTTTTCCATAGCCTTAGACTATACTAGGTTATGATAAAGAATGTGAAACACATCATAAATAAAAGTAATTGTTGTTCTAATTATCCAAACTCAGAAGCAGTTAATGGTAGTTCAGTCTAGAGAAGAAGGCTTGTTTTGAAGATTTGGATTTTCTGAAAGATTATAAAAAAATTTATGTGTCTACTTTTATTGAATGAATGTTGATCTTCATGTACCTGTATGTTGGTTTTGTGACAGTTACAGACATGTTTAACTTAGCCTCTGAAAGAAATTCAAACAAAAGGACTACATTTTGGTCTGTGGGACTATAATCTCAAATTTGAAAATAAAAATAGATGTAAAGAAGATAGATAGGTGGTTTTTAGCATCATTCTCAATCCATTAATCATGTTTATTAAACATTTTGAATGGATTTTTCACAATCCATTTCATGTTATAGTTCTGTCCCATAATCTGTAAATGACCTGTATGCTAACCAAAACTAAAGTTTTATTTTGCACATTGAAAGACCACTTGCACTGCACTACCAGTATTAAATACATTATTTTCAAAATGACTTAAATATGAAAGTTGCTATGTAAAATAGACTCCTATCCTATTACAGCTATAGCTAATATCAGATCAAATAGAACAATATTGATAAGGCATGCAAACCCACGATTTCTTTTTGATTGGGCCTTTTGACTTTATAACTGTATGTAGACATAGTAAATGATGACCACAATGTGATATTAATTCTTTTTAGTTACCCTTTATGTGTGTGTACAGTAACTACAAACTGTTGAATTCTAGAGGAAATGATCTATAAAAATGATCACAACACAAAGTGGACCACATCTGTCCCAAATGTAACACTAGAGACATCTCAGCAAGAATGGATTTGACTCAGAAATCTTAATTCCCAAGGCATTAATAAATTAACTCAGCCAGAAACTGCAGCTCGAAAGTTTGATGTAAGCTATATCAAATGTCTTACATTATGTGTAAGCAAGCTGACCATCCAGAATGTACCTATTTGTATGCATGGTAATTTCAGCTGTTTTGTGGATATTGGTCTTTCTTCATATCACGCAGGAAACAGATTTCAGCTGAAGACAAGCTACACTGAACACACTTACATTCTGAATTAACGCTGTCTTCTCTAATGCATATTTATACTGGCAATTCTGAGTTCCTGTAATTTGGGGGTTACGTATGAAGTGACTTTGATGTTGCAGCTTGCTTAGCAATTTTTATTAGATCCAAAGAAACAACTATGTATGCAGAGCACTTTGAGTTAGGGATAAGAAAAAAAAAAAACAAATTTATTTACTAAGTACTTAGCATGTAATAAAATAATCATCAGTTACAGTGAAAGTGAAGAGTACTCATTTGATATTACTTCTCTACATAATGAAATGTTGACAGAAGAAGAGGGGAAATCTTAAACCAAATTCTAGCCATATACAATTAATGTTAAAAATGAGCAGTTTGCTAAAAGAGATCCTTTCTAACAAATCAAGATGGAAAATTATTTTTGATAGCAGAGAAGTGGAAGTGATAGGTTAGTAAGCCAATGTTTATTATTTCACCTTCTTACGTTCTCTTCATCACTTACAAAAAACATCTGAGCTCTAGTGATCAGAAAATAAAAAGTTAAAAGGAAAGAGAAATAAGGGCATCCTATAGAGTATAAAAACATGGTGAAGCTGTGAAAACACCATATATTCTAGCAGGCCCTTACTATAAGCTTATAGAATCATAGAGTTGTCTAGGTTGGAAGAGACCCTTGGGATGATCTAGTCCAACCATCTACCCTTCTCTACAAAGTTCTCCCCTACACCATATCCCCCAACACCATGTCTAAATGACTCTTAAGCTACACCTGCAAGTTCGCCAAGCATAACTTGTGACATTTTGAAACAGTGGGCACTGTGTCCCATGGAAAATTCCTTTTTCTCTTTTATACAGACCATGATTCAACAACATTTCCTCATAGCAGAATGGAACAGGTAGGAAGAGTTTATCAGCATATACAAACTAACATAAAAAGGCACCTAAGTGTCGTGGCATGAGCTTTGTAATTGTTATTCCTTTGCTGAGATGTACACCATTTTATTTATAGCTAAGCAGGAACATCTTACAGTAGACCCAGAGAAATCAGATCAATGTTGTGCCAATCTGCTTTTCAAAAAAGAAATAGGAGCAGTCAAAAGGAGAACCTTGGTCTTGAGGTAGATGATCTACCTGGAAAATGCAGGTGGTGATTATAGTAATGAACATTTTTGTCTTTTACCTGCACTAAACTCTGATGGTCATTAAACATTATTAATCAATGAGAAAAATCCTACTACTTGTAAGACCTCTGCCAAATTGAACAAAACCAGTTCCGTACTCCCAAAACAGGTGGCTGATCAGATCTCTTGCATCCAATAAATCATAGCAGAGTTCCTGTTGAAAGACCTTTGGTGGGAAACAAAACAAAAGAAATTAAAGTAGAAAGAGTGAAGTGGCAAATCTGTTCCTACTTCGTTCCATCTGTCTAATGGGAATGGTAAGACTATGGTTGGATATGGAAGCACACACAAAGGACTCTGAATTATACACTGGGAGTACTCTGGCATCAAAATTAATGGTACTGATGCTTGTTCAGATGGACAGTCTATGTCTTAAGTTGAACTTGGTAGAGAGAAAGCCCTTAGAAGCAGAGACGACTGGAACAGGGAGGCTTTCTTCTTTCTTCTGGACATCTCCATAATTCCAATTCAGTGACACCACTTGGAGTTGAGGAAATAAATTTTCAATGAATTTTCATCAAGACTACCAGGCACTAAACTACTCCATACTCTGTAACACATTATTTGAGAGACAACACTCAGCTAGACATTCAATCCAGAAGGGTTTACAGAAAATCCCTTCTATACAACATAATTAATCAATGAGAGATCAGAGCTGTTACAGATATCTTAGACTTCCTCACTGATGTTTATTAGTTGAAAATGCCCACTAATCAGATAGATGTGGAAGTTGAGTATAGCAGGCCACATCTTTTTATGGCCTTTGATCAAAGGAGACCCTGCTATTCCCAGCAGTGATCTCAGTTTGTTTGGAAAGAAACAGTAAATGAGGCCCACCCACCAGGTACTTAAATCAGTTTTTCAAGAAAAATTGAGTTAATTAATCTCAGTTTTAAAGAAATTAACATTTTCAAATGGACTGCTGGATTACTAAAGTTTCTAGACTAATGAGACCTAAAATAAGAAACTTTACAGCAATTAAATTTCAGCCTAGTCAATGCAACAACTGCTGTAACGTTGCAGAAGCAACGCATCATTCACTCAATTCTCTTTGTTTACACACTAAAATGTAGGGTTTTGTTAAACCTCGACTCACAAGCAATAAGTGCAGTTTTTTAGTCTGCGATGTCAGTTTCCCTGGTGAAAGGCTAGAATCTTCTAGGTTAGATGTACAAAACCCTAGGAAAACAAAAAAAAAAGAAAATTTCCTTCTCTCTGGGTGATTTTTCCTTTACAGTCAGCAAAATCAGACCTGCCTATTGCTCTCTGAATATTTTATAGACTCATCTGGGTTTTGCTGAATCTTACTGGAAGTGTTAGAGTAAGAAATAAACAATAAGGGTTTGCCCTGTCCATATGTTCCAAATATTCCCCTTCTTCTGAGGTGAATTCTTAAAGGCATGTGAATATGTCTAGAATAACCATAGGAGCCTTAGGTTTCTGTAGAACTGCACGGTACAGATTAAAACAAGAGAATGTGGGTTTTGTTGGGTTTTTGTTTTTGGTTTTGTTTTTTTTTTTTATTCAGCTAGCCACATACCACTCAGAATTTTATTGATCGAATAATATGTACATAAAATTTATGGGGGCAAATATATTCTGTATGTAAATTAACAGATCTTAAAATGAAATAACAAAACAGTATCTAATTTGCAACTGCAATAATTTTATGATTTTTAAACATGATAGACTCCTAAAAATATACTTTCCAAAGACATTGCTAATACCCAGTTAAATAACTATTAATCAGAATGAAAACTGGAATATTTTCATGAAAATGTGTCATTGCTTGTGTTTTACACTGGATATATAGTTTTATTCTCTATCGCTGCTCATATTGAGCATAATCTGGCAACTGTATTCCCATATATAAATGAAACCTGTGGTTTATTATCAAGGTAATATTAGTGATGACTTATTGCTCTTCACTGACATCTTGACCCGCATGCCTATACTTATATTTGCATCACCTTAACTATTTTGTGTGTTCTGAGGAAAGGGAATAAAATGGCTCAAGAAGCTTCATCCTTTATACACTGCTAAGAGGTACACTACTCCTCTCATTAGTGGTAATAAAAAATCTCAAGATTCCTCATTTTTCCATAGAGTGAAAATATAGATTTGAAATAATTTCACATATAAAAAGGGCAGAGTGCTAAGAATACAAAGCTTCTGGGGTGTGAGCCACATTTTGCACTCTGCTGTGATGATTTGATCAAACTTAGCTTGCTTACAAAGAAAAAGAATGTGTGCTGAAGTCTTAGATCTTTGACTGAAAAATGTTTTAATCGGGAAAGAGTTTTCAAAGGCACAGATGGAAGGCTGTAGTCACTTCAATTGACTTACTGCTTTGCTTTTAAAGCACTGCTTGTAGCATTCAGGTGCTTTCTGGTTTGGGGAAAGTTGAAGATTCAAGTCTGTTGGGTACAAATATCTACAAGACATGAGATGACTGATGAAATAGAATTCAAGTTCAAATTGGACCCTATCTTTTCTGAAACTTGGTGGGCTTGCATCAGTTCACTTTCCTTCTGATTGGTGAGGATACTCACTAACATAGGCTGATGCTCAGGTCATTAAATATTTACTGATAAAAATAACAAATAAAAGCTATTTCTAAGCAGAAATATTGATGATTCTGTCAACTGTAGTGTGGTTGTTTATTTACAGAGATGAAAGTTATTCTTTTGAATGATAACTGTTATTTTTTATTTTATCTTGCAATGACTATCTGGTTTGACACATTTGTAAACGAAGGCTATTTTGCTTTCTCGAGAAAAGCAGCCAAGAAGTTCCATAATCAATCTGTTATTATATCCAGAATCAACAATTCAGCACATGAACTTTTCACCATATTTCACTTACTGGAGCTACAATATATCAGTTGAATGATGTCAATGTGTTTGTGGGCTGGAAGGAAATGGGTTTTGTAAAGAGGGATTACTTCAAATGTAGAATGATATACTTTCCACCTTGGGAAAAAAAAAAAAAAAAAAAAAGACAAAACACTATATATATGGTTACTTTTTTCATTTATGGAAACTTCATTTACCCCTGGCCTTTTGATCCAGAAAATCTTTTACATTATCTCAAGGTTTTAATGCCTGCCTTTCTCAAATACATGAAAAACAAAAGCAGATTATTTGCAGAATACGAGTCTTAATAAGCCTGTTTGGGTATAGAAGATGTATATTTGAGAGTGCACAACATGCACTCAATACATATTCACAGAACACATCTCTAGCTTCAACAGTTTAACACACCTGATATGTCCTTTTATTGCTTTAAAGGACAAGTAAGTACTTTCATTCTTCACAATTCTGTTTCTCTGTGTTTCCAGCTAATTCAAAGCATCAGTGCAGTGGATCGAGATGACTCAGCAGAAGGGCACCATTTTTACTTCTCATTGGCTCAGGAGGCCACAAACAACTCACATTTTACTGTCAAAGATAATCAAGGTAGTGTCATTCATGTAGCTCTTTAAGACCCGCCCAATGAAAGATGCACGCCTCTGTGGTCCTCACATAACTAAGTTTATAAAAATTTACACTTAAATAGAAATTGTCATTGTAAGATATGAATATTTCATGGGGTGCATTTCAAAACAATAATTCAGTAATACCAAACAGTAAATTTTCCTTTTTCAGATGAGTAACATAAACAGCAAAATACAATTTTATTTCAAGGAAAGAAAAAGTGATGAGTTGAAAAATACATTGGTATTCCTTAAAATGTATTTCCTTAATGCAAGGATATGGTGGAAAATACCAAATTTCTTGTTAAAATCATCTAGCTGTCTAAGAAACAAGATCACCAAAAAGAGAAGACTGCTGTTAATGTCTGTTAATTCATCGCTTCACAAGACAGAAATTATAAACACAGATAAACAGGAATGTAATCTTATTTCCTAATACATTTTAAACTGCTTATGCTGATTATTGATGACATCATGCATGTCTTCTACATGTATTTTAATGTTATTCCGAACTGATATTGATTGGGACTCATATTAAAAGAGGGATATAGAGAGATATCAAGCAAAACCAGTCTGTGGGGAAAACATAAGCGCAATATTTGATGGAATTTCAGGGAAGGTGGCCTCTCAGAGTCAGTCTGCTGAAACTACAAAGAAGAGCTTCTTCAGACTCAGCTAAAGTACACATTGCTCTTATTGACTTTGCTAATTATTTGAATGTTCTGGCCAGGTGAATAAATCAATGGAAATAAGTTTTGGAAAGTTCAGACTATGTTAAACGGCAAACTACTTCCCTCAGTATCTCCAAAGTTAAAGTCAATCTATTAATATGTATTTCAATTCCCAACTTCATTATCCTCTCACTCAGTGCCAGGTAGAGATAAGTTGTTACATTAAGGTCAAATTGTGTACAAGCTGTGAGCTTTTCCCACCTTTGCTCATTGTGCGCAAAGCCTAAGCAGAGCCACACACAAGGCAATAAGTCCATTTTTTTTTTTGGTGGCTATTGGTGGGGAAAAAAAGCCAATCTTTTAAAATATGGTACGATCAACCCTTACTCTCTCCCTTTCTGCCGCATTTCATAGAAATGGCTGCATGAATTGGGATAGTCCAAGGCGAAAGCAAATGTAACTCTACAGATTTGGAACATTTTATCTCTGGAATTGTAACACTCTCTGGAGTTACTTTCTGTACTATGACAGAAACCTAGAAGAACTTAACTATGAGGGAGTTAACTATAGCAGACTGTTTGGATAGATGTATTATACAGATAATGGTAGAAACATATTTTTTGTTTTTTATTTTTTTTTACATACATGTATGCACACATGCAGTAGTTCACCCTGCCAGGATTAAAAATTCTGACATGATTATTTATAGATTTTTCTTATTTCCATTATACACAGATTTAGACAGGGCTGATTTGTTTTGCAACAAGCTGAGTTTCAGATTTGAATTAGTTGATATGCAGCAGGAGATGAACTTAAGCTATTTACTGAGTTCTGTACAGAACTGATTTCTAAACACTAATAGTTAAATACAAAGCAAGGTAAGAGTCTTTATCAAATGTTCACTAATTTAGATAGTAGGAGCTCAACTAGCTCTAGTTTTTGAGTCAGGGAAAGAAATAAAAACTATTTTAGTGGACTTTTTTCTTGCTTTCTCTTCTTTCCCTTGCCACCTGCTTTCTCTGTGTGCTGCCAGACACACTTTTGAAGCCTTTTGATTGGTAAACTTTCTATATTTCATCTGTGAACTGCTGGACTGGTAGCAGCTGGTTACATGGAACCGTTTTAAGAACCAATTAATTAGTCTGAGCAGGTGTCAGGTACTGAACACAGTGGGATTTTTTTTTAGCTCTGAACATTAAAAACAGAGCTCCTCGGTCAAATTTTAGTATTGCCCCTGGAATACATTTGTCAAAAATAAATGCAATTTATTGACGATTGACACAAAAAAAACCCACCACATGTCAGTGACTGGTTTTACTTTTTTAACTTTCTTAATATGTAGCTTTGCACAGTACCATTGTTTTTAAATAGGTCAGATGCAATTGGAGTTTTATTGTTGTCATCACAAAGTGATAAATGCATATCATGCATAATAATTTATCTTCTAGATAACACAGCTGGAATTTTCACAGCAAAAAGTGGCTTCAGGAGGCAAGACCAGTTTTCTTTCTACTTGCCGATCTTAATTCTGGATAATGGAACCCCACCGCTGACAAGCACAAATACTCTCACTATCACTGTCTGCGACTGTGACACTGAAGTTAACACCTTCTACTGTCGATATGGAGCTTTCATGTATGCCATGGGTCTCAGCACAGAAGCTTTAGTTGCTGTTTTGGCTTGCATACTAATACTCCTAGGTAAGTATAAGCAAGAGAAATTACTATATCCTTTTACAGTAAGCCTGATTAAGTGACAAAGATGTTCCTTTGACTGGAAGCTTGGAAGTCCTGTGCTATTGAGAAAAAAAGGCAAGCATTTCATTTCTTTTCTGTTTTCTGAACTATAATTCCTCCTCCCTAGTTTTCAGTAAAATTTGAATTCTAACACAGTGTGCTAAAAGTTGGCGTTAGTTGAATTATGGTTTTACTTGTCTGTATTGGTCCAAAGCCTGTATTGACCCCAGGTAAAGCTGAAGACAGCATTACACAAGGAAATTGGCTAGTATAAGAATATATTACAAGGAGCAGTACCCTACTTATTCTGCCTTAGGTATGCCAAATGTACAGCTAAGATCAATACAAAGTAATAAAAGAAAAAGAGAATTTGATACTCTCGGAAAGCAAACAGGAAGTTTCTATGTCAAATAATAAGGTTGCATCTCCAAGCAGCCTTTTTCCAAATGTTGAGCATCTCCTTTTTTCCTCTCATGGGACACCAAATTAACCTCCATTACATTTGGGAGCTTGTGGCTGTGAAATGTGGGTTTGAGAGCATTTTAAATGCACAAGAGTTGTGCTTGTATCACTGCAAAGGGTCATGCCTGGCAGTCAAAACCAGACTAACCACCCAAGGCTGGATGTTCCTGCACTGCATGGAGCAGTGCTGCTTCAAGACATATTGGAGTGACAGCCATCAGGGAAACAAATTCTTCACCTGGTGAAGCGTGCAGCTATCACTGCTAAAATGCTTTTCCTTTTTTTCAGCAAAAGGATATTTCTGCAGTGTTTGATGAGTGATTTGGTGACGCTGACACATCGTAACAGCAGACACACTGTACTAATCATTCCCCAAAGACCACATATCCATCCTGAAACTCTGTACCTGTCTGAGTTAGTGAGGTTAAGGTATGGTAGCTTCTGAGGCAGGAAAGAGGAGAAGTGATAGAGCCAGGTAGGTTTGTTTTTCAAGACAAAATGATTGACCTTAGAGCTTGGTCACTGATGGTGGTCATGGGCCACAAGACCAAATTCAAGCTGATACCAACAAAGCAAGAGGGAAAGAATTACAAATTCCTGTTGCCTGTGTAATAACACGACATATCTGTATTATGCCATATAGCGGTCTATTTCATAAAACATCATATTTAAAAATACCACAAAACCACTGATAGGTTATGTTAGTAAAACTATTTTTCCACTAATGAAACTGCAAACAAACAACTCCAAAGAAAAAGAAGACAGAATCAGGATTTCACTAGGCAGTGTAATATCAAATCATCATTATAAACTGTAAAAAACTACCATAAATTGTTTTTCAATGAAATACTAAAAAAAAAAAAAAAACAAAAAGGAAAAATGCAATCACAATCAAAAGAAGAAAACTGTAGCATAATATCTAGCTACACAATGTCTGGAAAGAAAGAAGTAATAATAACAGAAATTACATTGTCTTAAGAAACAAAAACTTTCACTGGAAATTATTCTCTCAATATATTTGTTAACGAGAGCAAGTACAATAGTAATATTTTTAAACTCCTATATCACTGAAAGAAATACAAAACAATTTTAAGTAAACCTTTTTGTCCATATGAAGGGTAACTAGACAAAGAACATTCTTTTTTCTACCCTCATTATACAATATGACCTCTACCAATTTATAAAAACCAGCATACAACAGTAAGTGTATCATCATTAACTACAAGAAAGCTGAGGCTTGAAAATGAAGGCTTGCACCTCTATTCTGATGCTCTATTTTGATCTGCCATAGTAGCAACAGAAGCCAAGAAAGATAAGTACAATAAAGTTAATGGAATTATTTTAACTTTACACCAGTGAAAAAAAACATTTAACAAGTTAAAAATCACCCATATTCTGCATTCTGTCCACAAGGTTATGGCTTATTTTCCTTAGCATAAGGAATAGTAACAGGATTTAATTTCCTGTTGTACCTTTGACCTCCTGCTCGAATCTCTGGGTGAGAACTCATTGAAACTTCTCAAATGGAACCCTATAATTTAGTCCCACAGGTAAATGAGTTGCCCAGAAGCAGCATGCATACCAGTTAATTATGAGTCAGCATCTTCATATGACCTTCCCTCTCAAAATTAGGTGACAGGCAGGAAACTGCAGAAACAGAATGGCCTACAAAAAAACTCTATGTGTTTCTATTTATCCATTTGAATACACTGTATAGCTAGGGCAAGGATGAAGGCAATAGAAGGGTAACTGTTATGTCTAGATGGGAGTATTCTTGGTCAGACACTAGCTATTTCTTGACTCCAGGGATGCACTCATTCCCCTACTTCTGTCTCCTGGTTTCCAACAGAGAAAATAGGAACGTACGATTGGATTTCTGGTTCTAGGCTTGCTTGCACTGCCAGAGTCACTTTATTTAAATCTGAGCTTTCCTTGTCCCAGGGAATCTTCAGTAGTGGCACTGGAAAGCAGCCCCCCCGATTGAAGTCCCTGCCTTAGAACTGGCAGCCAGTGTGAGCTTACTGGAAGCCCAGTGTGCATCTCAAGTTTTCTTTGATTGTTGAGGGATATATGAACCTGATCACTTTGTGTTCCGCACTTAAGTGACTGAGGATCAGGCAGACTATACCACTGTATTATCCAGACCACCAGTGGAATTATTCTTCAAGGTCCTTTCTCCAGATGGAATAAACCCTCGGCGTCTACTGGGCCTATGCATATCACAAAAGTTGAAGCAGGGAGATAGATAAATATATTAATCAGAAAGAAAAAGAAACTAATCTACCACACTTTTTACAGACAAATATTTTTTAAATGCATTAAATCTTTGAATGTGTTTTTGTAATTATTTAAAATGAAATAATAAAAAGGTTCTATATATAATAGGTTTGCTGTTTATATCTGAGACCTAAAGTTTGCTTTTTTTTTTTTTTCCAATTTTCTTGTATCATCATGTGTACCATTAGAAGAGTACACCATGCAAATTGTTTGGAGAGCTGAAACTATCTGGGTTTTGTAAATGTATAATAACGTTGTAGAAATCCCCATTTTTAATGCTTTCAAGTTTGGTGTTCCTATCTCCCAATCAAATGAAGTAATATACAGTAAATATGTAGAAATAAATAACTAGTTCAGGTCCCTCGTATCCCTAAGTGAGGTAAAATCCCGTCATCGTTGGTAGTTGTGTCGTGTTATGTCTTGAGTAAAGTATTACAGTCCACAAACTACTTAGATATTAAATAGAACTGCAGTAAGATTTAGCTAAAAAGTGAAATCATTAATCTCTGTGAAAGTCATAGACTATTTCAAAGGGATCATTCAGCTAAAAATGAAATTAAATATGATTAAAAAATAATACTTTAAAATGAAATTAAAAAAGATCTCATATATGAGAGAAACAAGCTGCTCTGATTCATAGGCCTTGGTAGTACCTACTACTACAACATCACTTAAAAGTTGGCGATAGTCTTCAATTTTCCAAACTAGCATAACAGAAATAATTGAACCACACCCTGCATAGACTATGGAACTGAATGATTCAACCAGCTGAGGAGGATAACTTGCTCATTGCCTCATTTTTCATTTGATCTTCCTGGGTCTTTGATCCAAGAAAGAGTGAAAAATTAAGAATTTAAATTCTGAACGTGAAATTCATACATTATGTGATAAACCAAAGCAGTTTCAAAAAGCATAACCTGTGTTTCCATCAGTTTCAAACTGTCACCTGCCAAAAGAACTGGTCCATTTCATTCACCTGTTTTGTCAGCTGCTTTGTAGCCATTTTACTACACATACTATGCTCATCTCAAAACCATAATATCGATAAAAATTACAGTTCTATAAATTTGTTAAGATAGCTTCACTTTGCAATAGTGTTGATATTAAGAAATGTTACTATTTTTTCAAGTCTTTCCAAGCACATTCAATGTCTCTGGTCCTGTTTATATTGTTTTCTTTTGTTTCTTTCTTTTTTTTTTTTTTTGGTCAGTGTTCTTTTTGGCAATTGTAGCGATAAGGCAGCAAAGGAAGAAGTCTCCCTTTTCAGAAAAAATGGAAGAATTCAGAGAGAACATTGTCAGGTATGATGATGAAGGAGGTGGTGAGGAGGACACAGAAGCGTTTGATATATCAGCACTGAGGACACGCACTGTCATGCGAACGCACAAACCTCGAAAGAAGGTCACCACAGAAATCCACAGTCTCTACAGACAGTCTCTGCAGGTTGGCCCTGACAGCGTAATCTTCAGGCAATTCATTTCAGAAAAGCTTGAAGAAGCAAATACAGATCCTACAGTTCCTCCATATGATTCACTTCAAACCTATGCATTTGAGGGGACTGGCTCTTTGGCAGGATCCCTCAGCTCTTTAGGTTCAAACATGTCAGATGCAGATCAGAGTTATGACTACCTTACAGACTGGGGACCTCATTTTAAACAGCTTGCAGGCATGTACACTTCCCATAGAAGCGTGGGGGATTAGTTACTCTTTGATTTGTTCCTTTGTTTTCCTAAATCTCAGCAACCAAAACCAACTGTGGATTTTGAAAAAGGAGATCATCCCACATTTAAGCATGCAAAATAAAAGCCCAAGGTTGTTTTGTTTTGTTTTGGTTTGTTTTTCTGGAAAGTCTTGGATGTAGAGATCTTTTGGAAAATCAGGACACCGGGCATGTCATGAGGTAAGCAGGTGAAGACTCCCATTTGAAATTCTAGTGGCTATTTAGGTGCACGAATGAAAACTGTGCTGCTGTGGATATCTAGGCACCCTTTTGGATCATGAAAACCTGGGTCCAGCAAGTACAAAAGGAGGAGTAGAAGCCATAAATGGATATTGTAAATATTCTGTCATCCATAAGCTTTAAACTGTTTCCAAAGTTAAGACAGATTTTTGCTGTTGCAGTTGAAGATATTCATTAACCAAAGTTAAACATGCATATTTGTGTAATGCTTCCTTCTATAAACATACTTGTGTGAAAAAGTAGACCCTAGGTATTCTAATACAATTGTCAGAAACACTCACAGAATCAGCCATTTATTGTTCTTAAGACGATAAAACTAAAACAAATGCCTTTTCCTGTCAGTGTAAAAATAAAGACCGTCAGCAAGCATTTGCTGCCATTTTAGTTTTTAATGGAGCTATTGGAAAATGTATAAACCAATACTTAATTTAGCAAATAAGATAGAAAAAAAAGAAATCAGTTCTAGTTAGAATCAATATGCAACATAAATACTGCAATTGGCAACATTATATATTACTGTACTTAGAACAAAATGCTATCCAAATAGAGGCATTTTTCCTTTTATTAAGAGTTCAAAGGATGAGAGATATACCAGCACAGATTTATTTTTTTATTATGAAATATAAAATTATCTGCAGTAGTCAGTTTTATTATAACAGTATTAAGAATCTTTAAAATGTTAAACATGGTTATAAAACTTTATGTATAACATTAGGTAATAAGATAATAAAATACTTTAGTTAATCCACTTCTGACAATGATCCTGAATCATTCTGCGAGACTCAAGCCACACTTCAAAATTAAATTCCCACTGTATTTTTTCCAAACATTCCATACTGAATATAAAGCTGTCTCAGAATATTTCTTCACTCTTACTTATACCACTACTCAGCAGCAATTTTGGATCTGAGGGTCATCAAATATGTTCAAAAAGCTCTGTCTGGAAAAGGCAACCTGCCTGTTTTTTATTCACTTCTCTTCTATCAGGTACTTATTCTACAGAAATTACATCATGTAATCAACTGATAAATTTCCACAGCTAAAAGCTACCATCTAGATAAAGAAAATTATACAACATGTTTGTGTCCATACACACCCACACACCCCTTTTCTTTTTTATAAGATTTTAGGTAAACACTACTGAATTAGAGAGAACCAGGCAAAACTTAAGCAAGGAAACAAACAAACAAACAAAGGCATGTAACATACAATCTCTGCAATGTTTGCTACAATTTTGGTTCGCTGAAGAAAACCAAGGCATTTAGGCTTAGTGGAAAGGTGCCAATGCAGAGTTTAAATTCCTGTCAGTTAAAAATAAAACATGTGAAGGTGTTTGAAAATCAGTAGTTTTCCAACGTGAGGTCTGGTAAGGGCAGAAACAATATTCATGATATTCATAGCTGGAGAAACACAGCGGGGGCGTCATCTGACCAGGTCCAGATGAGGCAGCATCTGCTCAATAAGGAAAAACTGGTTCTCACCAGTCTCATGCGAGGACACCAGTATGAATGAGCAGCTACAAAACAGCTTTAAAAGATACACAAGTAAAAACATTGTATTAATGACTCTAACATTTGTGTTCAATGGCTTTCCAAGAGATGTGATAAAATAACTTTTATTTGAGATAATATTGTACATGTTAGTAATTTACTCCATGGTGAGTAATAGAGAAAGAAAGAACAACTATACATGCACTGGTTGTTGGAGATGGTAAAAAAGTATATTTTTAGGATTAGGTCTATAGATTAAGGTGGGTTATACCTTAAACAAATACTTATTCCACAGATGGTCCCAGTGGCATTAATAGAATTCCACATGCTTTCAGGTTGTATTTTGTACAAAAAGGATAACAGCATCTGATCCTCTATCAATCCAGAGATTTTGTCCTTTTACGTGGGGAAATAGCCTTGAACACTCAACTATATTTGCATTTATATTATAATTTCCTCTTTTTACTGTAAGAAAATTTAACAATAAATATATTTTTTTTAACCAGCACATACCACTGTCATGTAATTTTTGTAAACAATGTATGCCATTGTCAGTAACTTCTATATGAAAAAGAACAGTGGTCTACAATGGATTTTAAATGAACTTTACCTGAAAAGGCATAAAACCATGTTTGCACAGCAGAGAGAGGGAGTGTTTTGCTCTGAAGTAAGAAGTTATTCCTAGCTGTTACTGGGCCAAATCTTATTAGGTTCCAGGCATTCAGGCTAAGTCAAACCTGAAAATTTATTTCCACATGTGAGAAAAGAATCACTGAACTGACTTAGTAACTTCACACTTCTTTTAATATAAAATACTTAATTTAGCTCAAGAATGTCTGCAAAAAGGTTTTGTGGAAATGCCTGCTTATTTAAAGGAAATAAATATTTTGAGGAAGACAAAATTAAACACATAAGAGATACAACAATAATTAACAGTATGACATTAATAAAGGATAAGTTATAGCCAAAGTTCCTGGTGATGAGATCTATTAAACTGGGGAATGGTTTTCCCGAGAAAGTCATTTATTACCTTCACCTTTAAAAGTTTGTATGTAGCTAGAATTAGCTATGCTATTGGCTGAAAAGTGCAATTATGGCACCAGATGGTGAATACGTATTCAGCTGTTCATGACCTGCCTGATGGTATATAAGAAAGATTTACTGACTGGTCAAAGGAAGTATGGTCATACACACTGATTTTCTGTATGAAGGTTTTGAAGAGATGTTCCTGTATATTTTTTTCTCTGTAACATGGTAATGGGACAGGTTAAGAACTGGTGAAGTACCTGACAAAAGATTGGCTTCCTGTTTCAGTCCTCATTCATAGGGATTCAGAGTATTGTGTTGTTGGTTTTATTATTTAAAAGCCAAGGAAATGAAGACTGTGCATATATTAATAAAGTCTTAACATTCAGATGTTTAAATTTAAAAAGCAAAAGAACAAAATCACTTGATAGCACATTGCAGCTTCAGATTCATTGTTGTGACTGGAAAAGGGTATATAATTTTGTATATCACGATGTAGATTTTTTATTATCATAACACTGAGAAGCAATCCTGCTTGCCACTGAGGATAATCTTAGTCTTTAATTCACATAATTTTCATACCACATTTTATCACAGATACTGTCATTACACTCCTAGCTTTGCTTTCAAAATTTGCATTGGAAATGTGGTTTTTTTAACACTCTTTAAATAACTGTTCGGGGTAACCCTGTCAGATAAGAGTAAAATATTTTTTAAAAGACAGTGTGCATTTAATGCTTCAAAGTCAGATCTAATATACGCTCTCTGAGGAGTAAAAGTTGAAGGAGATTATTGTGATTTTACATTCTGGCACGGAACAGTTTACCCTTGATCCAGAATATGAACAAATAGAATAGAAGTTCTATGAAAAAAATCAGTACCTATTCATAAAGTCTGTAAGATTTCACCCCTAGAAAATTGGTGAACCTGTATTCTATAAAGAAAAATAAAGTGGACGAATGTTTATAAAACAAAGTTGATACATTTTACAACAGTAATTTGGATGGTTTCATGTTTCAGAAAAAAAAATAATCATCATATATGGGTCTATATCAACCTTATGGCACAGAGTCCAAGGAACAGTAAGATTTACCTATAGCGCATAGAAGGATAAAGCATTCATACAGAAAGTCTGCTTAAATCACAGAATCACAGAATGGTCAGGGTTGGAAGGGACCTCTGGAGATCATCTAGTCCAACCCCCCTGCCAGAGCAGGTTCACCTACAACAGGTTGCACAGGACAGCGTCCAGGCGGGTTTTGGATGTCTCCAGAGTGGGAGACTCTACAACCTCTCTGGGCAGCCTGTGCCAGTGCTCCACTACCCTCAAAGTAAAGAAGTTCCTCCTCATGTTAAGATGGAACTTCCTATGTCCAAGCTTGTGCCCCTTACCCCTCGTTCTATCAGTGGGCACCACTAAAAAAGACTGCTCCCATCCCCCTGGCATCGTCAAAATCAGTATGAAACACTTTACCTACAGCAAATACATAATAGCAATAGTCACAAATATATGTAAGAATCATGAGCATATCTGCCAGAAAAGGTAGTTAGATGTATGGCACTGAGAGCAAATACTAATAAACACAATTAGAAACCATCACTACTTCACAAAACTCTCCAATAGCAGAAACCAGAACAGGATATCAATGGCTCTTAATTCCCCAAACATTTTAATTGTGATTTAGGCAATGCTTTAATGGTATTAAAGTTTATAATTTAAATAATACTCCACATGGGGTGATTCAAATAGAATTGATTTGTAGAGAAATAAAGATATCTGCATACATACATCTGAACAAAAGGATACAACAGAAATTATTGGATTAAAGTTTAAAGGATGCAAACCTACCCACAAATATATGATGCATCCTTTCTGACATTGTTATATTAATCTTTGTTGCCCCAAATTAGTTTGAAAACACACTACAAAGGGCATCTTGAACAACTCTTTTAGTATCTTAGGATCTGGAACAAGATTTTTTTTTTTAATATACTGAATCTGTATGGATGTCAAAAAATATTCCCAGTTATTAATAGTGAGGATACCTGAGTTATAAGCAAGAACTGGATGGTCTTGAAGTATGGAGACTAGAAAATGGATAAAATATAACTGCAAAAATAAACTGCAAAAACTCTGGCAATTGTCCTTAAAAAACAATCTGCTATCATACTGGGCACTTGTCCAGTAGATTAATTAAACAGGACAAGGATATTCAAGCTGCTAAAATAACTATGAACTGCCAAGAAGATTAAGCTCAGAAAAGCCAAAAAGAAAAATAAAATAATCAAATATGAGCCAAAGTTGTACTAGAAAATACCGTAGACAAAATAAAATG